TCTCCAAATTATGTCGTCAATCCATTCCCTCACTACAAGATCTCGACCCTCTGACCTATACATCTCTTTTCATAGATCTGCCTCATTCCAAAACTCCTTTATAGCCCGTTCTGTCAACTTTTGGAATCCCCTCCCGATCAAAATTCGACATGCCCTTCCCTATACACATTCAAAAACCTCCTATTCCAATTTCTGTTCCAAAAACAGTCAAATACCAGCTAACTATTAATACTATATATGTATTGTGTAGCAATCATATAATCATAATACTTAATAAGAGACTTAATAGTACATGCATTTTCTACTATCGACGTAGGAATTTCAAAACATACATTTTTTTTTTTATTCAATTATAATTAACTGTTTTATATATATTTATATATATATATATTATATATATATATATATATATTCAAGTAAAGTTTTTTTTTATGAAATGAACTCATTCTATCTCTTTTCCGTTCTTCATTTCTCAAAGTGTATGTTTATGTTGTTCAACCCTTATATATAGTTTTGTTCATAGCTCAAGTGATTCGCTCATAGTTTTAATTGTTTTGTTCATAGTTTTAAATGCTCTGTACATAGTTTTATCTGTATTGTATATAGCTTGTGCACCTAAGGTTTTCGTTACTTTTATTTATTTATTTTATCAATTTTATTTATTGTTTCAAACTTTTAGGCCAGCAATATTCTATTCTTTTGTACAATATTGTTATTCTAAAGGGACTCAGTCCCAGAATAAAGTTTCTTTTTCTATCTATCTATCTATATGTGTGTGTGTGTGTGTGTGTGTGTGTGTGTGTGTGTGTGTGTGTGTGTGTGTGTGTGTGTGTGTGTGTGTGTATAAATTCTTTCGGGCTGAAGCTCCCTCAATATAAAATCCTGGATCCGCTAGTGCGCCCTAGTGATCACAATATCAAACTTATCTAATGAAATTGATGGTTGATTCATTAACGCCATCAAAAGAACATCATATTGTAACAATAAACCGATTACAGTCTACGTTGCACTCAGTAACTGTAACAGGTGACGGTATTCGTTACTGAGCTGATTAATAACGGCAACAGCTCTCGCCACCGCGGTAACGTCGTTAGTTTCCTAATTCTGCTCCCCGAACGCGGGAATTATTCCATTTCGCTCTCCGCTAATCATATTACACAAAGTCATATATATAGTTAGTAGAATATCATAACATGATACGTCAATATTGTTATCCATTATTAATTAAGTAATAATGAAAAAATTGGATTAAGTACTTCTGAAAATCAATCTACCATTTAATATAGTGAATTAATTTTTATTTAAAATCACTGGCATAGTTTTTTTTTACTAAATTTGAAATAAATGGAAATGTGTATATATTTAAAAATACAATGCTTCACTTCGTTCGGTAGTTAGGAAGCAAATTAAGCATGGTTTTAAGACTAAGCAAATTAAGTATAGATTAAAAGTTTATTTCATTGACTTTTAATAGATTGTTATATTAAACGTTAAAAAATGATATTAAATATTTTTAAAAAAATAAAGATAAAGCCATCAGCTTCTTTCAAAGAGCTGAGCTATCAGCTCAATTTACTTTTCTCATTAAGAGACTTGCCCACAATTCATATTATGATATTTCTCAATTATGAATTAAATACCAAAATATGGGAACAAATTATTATTTCAGTGAAATTGGCATTTGTGACAATAATACAAAAAAATCTCGAACACACAACTTTCACTTACCGCTCTACTTTGAATATAAATTACTTTCCGGCAAATTTGAGCGGATATAAAATGTTTGAAGTGCATTTTTAACGGAGCTAGAGAATAAAGTTTACAGCCAACAAAACATTAAGACCATTATAATAACAAAAACCCTATAAATTATATCAACGATAGGCAATAAACACCTCGTTACTCCATCTGTTTTTGTAAACAATATAACTGCAGTCTCTGAGCTATATATGTATGTATATGCCTAGAGAGATTTGAAAGTATGTCTGTATGTTCAGCCTATAACTTATTATGGATTGTACGCCTATTAGTTATTAAACATTATTTTGCGTTGTAAAGTTTATTAAAATGAAATTACGAGAATTTCATTGCCTGCAGTTGATAGGTCAAAAGTTGTCACACTAATTTTAAGTGGATAATGTTGCAATTTCCCAAAGAGAAGATTAATCAAATTATTCACTAATTCATTTTCTAAAAAGTTACAAGACGGTTTTTCGGAATAAACTATTGTTGACAACAAATTATTTAAATATAATATCAGATCTAGAATTATTAAACTACACCCACTTACACATCCATGAGATATGTTTATATTTCACTTCTTCTTTCACACAAGTACAACGAAATAGTTTTTTTAACAATTTCATTGCCTTAATCAGGTGGATTTTAAATACGTTTTTCAAACTTTTAAAAGTTTACATTTAGTTCGTTAATTTCATTTAATTTCCTTGAAAAAAACATGATCCGTTAAATAATAATAGTCTTCAGAAATTATTATTTATACTTTTTTCTTCACTCTCTTTTTTTTACGACTTTTTACGACTTTCTATATTAGATATTTTTATTTATAAAATTCTCCTCTATATTATAATATAGTATACGTATACCTTCTGGCTTTTATTTCCGAAGATTCATTTTCGAGCTAAATAAGATTCATTTTCCTATTTTCTCATTTATTCAATTATCAAATTATTTCAAAACTTATATTAAGCATTTTTTCTTTATTTGTATCAATGAGAAATAGTTTATTATTTAAAATAAACCAAATTTAAAGTATTTTAGAGGAATGTTGAACATTCGACATTTAAGCCCTGTAAAGTGACATCAATGAGGGGATAAGGTCTAAATGATATGAAAGACCACTTAGTTATACATTCATACACAGAGTTTAATTAAAAATGTTTTTAATCTATTCTATAAAGTACCACATCCAGTTAGTCGATTTTGACAAAAAACATGTCTGTAACACTTCAGGCATATACAAACCTTAAATATGGAATTACACTTTCATATGACTTTTCGTTTCTGAGCTAGACTGATAACATATACATAGATACACAGACCATTTTGCGGGATTTGGTTATTTGGACTCAAAACGTATATTTACGTTGAAAATTCAGATTGGTAAATTTTCACGATTGCAATACTTTCCCTTACCATTTATTACATATATGGGTAAGATGTAGTAAAAATGCACTTTTAGAGGTTGATAATAATAAATAAAGTGTCTTATAACATGCATATCTACTTCTCGATCAGTGATGAATCAGTTGAAAATACCTGTTTTGATAATTATGATTTGGACCAGAATTTGTAGTTATTTATGAAAACTGTTGAAATTGGCAAGTTGTTGATAAAGAAAATTTCTAACACAGACCAAAGTGTTGTTCCGTTTTTATGAAGAACGGTATTTTATTAAAAATAGGATATTTCCATATTTGGAGCATTACGAAGATTAATAAATACTTGATTAAATTATTACTTCCCCATTGCATATTTTATAACATTAGATATAGCCCTTGGATTACATTCAATGAACATCCTGAAGAGGGGGTGAAAGTGTAAAGAGGAAAAAAAGGACAAAATATTAAAGACTTTTGAGTTGAGGAGATGAACCGTTTAAAAGGGCAGGTGATATAGCGAGGCAAAGCAGATGAATTTATGATGAAATTCAAATAGACAGGGATTGTACGAAGAGTGAATGAGGGGTTCCCAGCCAGGCCTGTATTCACCTCAACCAATGGCAGGGATAACTTACACCATCTATTCAATACTTTCATCCTTCCTATACATAACTTGCTTAAGGGAGCTATCAGAAGGAAATTGCCAGGATTTGAAATTAGGTCTTGAATAATGTCGCGTATGAGTCGTCGACTTATACGAAGATAAATTATCAAGAATAAATCAACTTTGACGTTATATTTATTCTATGAGACATATAGCATTTCCAAGTCTAATTTAGAATTTTCCAAACCAAATCGGTATTTTTTCAAATCAGATTTAGATCTTTCCAAACCAAATTAGGATTTTTGCAAAGCAAATTTAAAATTTTACATTTCAAATCAAGATTTTTCCAAATCTAATTAAATTTCTAGTACGTACAACCTATTATGAATAACAAAGTTAGGCATTGTGGCATTTAAAGACCAATTTTAGACATTTTCTAATTAAAGTTAAACATTTCCAAGATTAAAAATCAAAATTAATTATAAATATATGTAAAAACATATTTTCTGAAATTAATTCGGTCAAATTATACTTTCCTGGTTCATTCAGACTATTCCTTGTATTAATTTTTATTTTGCAGAAGGCTATCTCTACTGGATTTAATGGAGAACAGTAGACAGGGAAATTCCTCACGGTGAAACCGAGTTTCTGCTTCTTATCTTTTACTTCTGTAGCTCGATTGTCCATCACCCAAACTCTTTATAGAATATCAGTAATCTTCTCGTAGAGTTCTGACGAGAAATCATTGAACCGAACATTATAACAATTTGTGTTTGAGATTAACTTAAACTGTACCACTTTTCCGTTACTAATGGCCAATACATGTGTATTCCTTCCAATAGTAGGAACCTTGTAGTCCATGGTACAGACCCCTTTTTATCGAATTATGAACATCCGCCTAAAACTTCGTAAATGGTTTCATCTCATCGTAACCTACAACTATTTTATTTACAAATCTCATAGAATTGGGGCGTTTTCAATCTGGAGGGAGACAAACTTTGTCTATTTAATTAGGTACTAAAAACTCGTTACTAAAAACTCGTAAAACTGAAATCGTACTCTTATCGTAACCGATTTTCAGGATAATTACATTAATATTTTTTTTTTTAATGAACATCTTTAAACTTCTATGAATCTGTCTAAAATCAGTAGAAAAGTCTCGTGAGTGGGCACACTAGATTTTTTAATTTTATTTCAACTGTTAATTCTTAAGATTTTATTTTATTCAATTGTTTTTAATTTTCCATCTCAATAAAATCATTCTATTGTTGCAGGTATGTGATAACAGCTTTGTGCACAACTTGTCATTGCCCAGAGGCGGTCATCTCATTGCTGTTTTGGATTGGATACTTCAATTCGGCGCTGAACCCTCTCATCTATGCCTACTTCAACCGCGACTTCAGGGAGGCCTTCAAGAATACCCTCCTCTGTGTCTTCCCATTCTGCTTCAGCTGCTGTCCTAAAGAGGGCTCTCCCGTGCAGTATGTCTGAACACACAAACCCCTGTGATCCCTTGCACCAACCTAGAGGTATGTCAATGTCTGTCCTCGCACCTTGACTCTCTCTTGCACGTTGGTAACTCCTGGCACGACTTCCTCAGCTCACTCCTCCACTCCTGCACTCTCCGTCGTCGGCATGGTCGTGTCGATGCCAACTTTCTTGGGAAAGGTTGTTATAGATGTAGTGGAACCATCCTGAATGTCTATTAACACTATCAGAAGGGAAGATAATGAAAGTATGGCTCATAAATTTAAGGTGATCTGATTGTCTATATTTATTCCACAAAATACCTGGGAAACATATTAAGATAGTATTATAAACGTTTTTAATTATAAACAGCAATTTTATCAAACAAAAGTACATGATACTTTTCCATTCGAACACCTCAAAAAACCTTGTGGATAGCAACATCCTTATAGTCCATTCTTAGAAACCACTTAGAAATTAATACTTGAATTTGAATTGATAAAGACAAGCATACAATACATTCGGAATACATACTTCTGATCTACAATACATTAAAACTAGATAATTGCAATCGATAATTTTTCCGGATTGCTTTAAGACATGTTGACTGATACTCTTGAAATTTATTTTCAATACCATCCTTAGTATTCATAATCGTTCCTCTAACACAATTTGAACATTCTGTCAAAAAGAAATATTTTTATGGAATTATGAAAAAGGGCTCCTTTCAGCCAATTTGATTGTAGAGATGGTTCTATAAAACTATAACGTAATTATAAATTGAAACAATGCCGTTACCTCATTTACTTATTATGCTCAATCTGTAAAATTTTATGTGCTTTCTTGGCACTGTTTAAGAGAATTCTTTGCTATCACAAGCATTTCAAAATGTTAAGTAACATTTAAAATAATGTGAATAGAAAATATAGTTATAACTTTTATTCAAATTGTAAAAGACAGTTGTGATAGATTAATATTTTGTTGCTTCTGGTACACACGAACAAGTGAATGTTTTGAAAGAGTTCAAATTAGCCAAATAAATAACACCAGTTATAAGAATATCCATTTCTTTTTGAGGCAGAAAATACAATATCTAACTGATGGAAAGAAAATACTTTACTCATCAACCATCCATGGCAGATCATTTTTAGGCTCCTTAAAATATGGAAATAAAAATGAAAATTTTTCAAAGAAAAATAATAAGGATTTTTTTTTTTTTTCATAGTCATTGGTCTTTCGACCATACAATATCTTGCTGCCCAGTTTTTTATATACTCATTCAAAAATGTTTTAGGACATGTGTCTAGATGATCTGCATCCATTTTTTCTTGTTCATTTGTTGTATATTGTGGAGATGACTGCAGATAGTTGTGACCAGTGGCCAGGCAGAAGCAGGCTACTGCATCTCTTCTTGGTAGGTCAGCTGGGATCAGATTTTCCACCAAACAAGCCGTTACTCCTTTCCACCTTGTCTCTGTGTATATTTTTTTTTTCCTCCTTCACTACCATCCTCACTACCACCTTACCATTTGTCGAATTGAATCATAAGATTTCGGATGGACTGTTTGAGGCAATTCTGCTCCTCTCCTAGCAAGACTATCTGCTTCTTCATTTTCTGAAATACCGCAAAGGCTCGGAATCCACTGTACGACCACATTGGTACCTCAGAGTGTTAGATCGTAGAGGAGAGATTTGCAATCCAAGAAAGCACTCGACAGACATTTATTCATGTCAGTAATAGCGAAGATTGCTGCTTGAGAGTTGACAAAGAGAACAGCACTCTGAACTTGTCTTCCTAATGTGTTCTTAGGGCTATGAGGATCGCTGCTATCTAACGGTCAAAATTCATACCGTCCTCACCCACTGCTGCACTGAACTGAAACTCGCTCGAGTAAACCCCTGCCTCAGCATTTTTAACAGCTGATTCAGCTGATCCATCAGTATAAATGTGAAGCCAATCCTGAGGAGGGTAAAATAATAACATACTGGTATGGTTAAAAAATACTATTTCTTTTTCAATACACTTATGTTTTAATTAAAAAATAAAAGTGCCTATGCCATGAGGTCCAGGGCAGACCTATATTCTGAAGAGCAACCACTTTGTTGTTATCTTTTTAGATTTCGGTATGATCATTTAATTTTCATGACACGATTTACATTATAATCATTATATTAAAACTTCTGACCTGATTGTTTAATCGAAGACTTTTGTGAATTTTCTCAACTATGTTGTAATATTATCATTTAAAACATGAGAAGTTGTTATTACTGATAATTAACTTTTAACAACGAATCCAGGATTTAATTTTGAGGGGGATTCAGCCGTTTCTTTATTTATTTATTTACTTTTTTATAATAAATAATGATATTTACTGTGGAAGAAAAAGAATGAAACTAACTACCTATATGAAATGGTGTGCAAGTGATTCTTGAAGTCATATTTATTGTAATCACACGATCAAAGAACAATAATTCTTTTAGAGATAATTTTATAATATGCTTTTCCTAAAACATGGTTATATTTTACCATTTTGGGGGTAATTAACCCGAAAGCTCCTAGTATTTTTTGACCACACCCCCGAATAACTTCTTCTGAAAAAATCTAAAAGGTAATTATTTTGTGTTTATATTTCAGTTATAAAAACTGCTGATTAAAAAGGAAGTTATAATAATACAAAATGTCCTTCCCTTCTGAATAGCATTATAGACATCAACAACCAAAGATGGAATTTAATTTTGTCTGAAGACAAAATTTTTCTTTATATTTTTGTGTAGCTCCTGCATCGGATATTCAAAATGTTTGTATTTTCATTGCATTATTTTTATTTGGTTTTTATGTATAGGGAATGTTCCTGCATCATTGCTCGTTTAATTTTCCAAAATTCTTTTGTATTTGTTTTTTAAATGATTATTTAATATACAACATAAATTATTTAAATTAAAATTATCAGTTACAGAATATATCATGTGGAGATGGCTGAGTAGACAATAACAAAGGGCAATAACACTTCTAGTTTAATTTTTTCAAATATGATCTATGCTGAAAGCAAAATACCCTGTTATTTTATAGAGTAAAATCATATATTTTTGTCTTAGCTGAGAGTTAAAGGTATTTTTTTATTTAGGTTAAATAACAAAATAAAAATTATTTAAAAATTATAAAGTTTAATTTATTCTACTTGATATATTTGTGGACAGTTTGATGATTTATTTTCTACAAAATGCGATGAAATAAATTTATTACTAACATTCATTGTACAAATGTTGCTTTCATTTATGTATTAACTTAATTATGATTCAATAATACTTAAATAATACTTTTAGTAATTAGTCAGATGAATGTGTTCTCATATATTTTGCGAGATATCTTACAAAACTTAAATTAAAAAAGCAATATTTTTATTTCAATGACATAAATTATTAAGGTTTGATTACAAAAATAAAGAGTCATCTTTCCTCTAATAGTCAAAGGTTTCTTTTGTTTGTTGTGTTGTTAATTACATAATAATGTAACTAACTTTTAATGTTTTCTTTTTTAATATTTTTTGCCATCATGGCAGATGGTAAAAGTGTTAGAAAAAGATATGATTTAATCATAGAAGAAAAAAAGTTAAGTAATTTCAATTTTTCAAAACTACTAATTTTTGTAATCACCTCTTTTATAAAGCAAAATGAAATAATCAAACTATTATTTTGGAATCTATGATACAAAAAAGTAAATAGAAAAAATATTACATAAATAAGTACGAAGCAAAGATATAAACTATTGTAAGAAGGATAATGAAACATTGTAGGCAATGTGAAATTTATCAAAAAAAACTATATTGTGTGAGACCGAGAATAACTATTCAATAGACTAAGCTGAAACATTTGATTATTAAAGACCCAAATTTTCTATTGATAGACAATTTTATTTTTATTAATAAAAGCTATAATTATATTTTATTCGATAAATTTATCTCTTTCTGAAAACATTCTGATCAAAAATATTTATTAAAAAGTTTAGAGGATAATTTTATTTTATGTTTTAGGTAAAATAAAAAATTTTAAAAAAAATGAAAAACAAAGTTATACAATGCCAGAGGTTGAGCAGCAGTTATTGGTTGGCATCTATGCGTAACCACTCTGCTTTGTGCAAATAACTTCAAGCACATCAACCACTAATATGTTCGATTCTGTTGTGGGATCTGTGGCCCGCTTGGTGTAGTCCTTCTCATCCTGTCTGTGATTCTCAATGTTTTAAGTAAAGATAATAGTTGAGTATCATGTAAGTTTAGTGTCAGTTGTATTTAAAAATTAAGTAGCTAGTTTGTGGATTGTGAAACATGTTTCCTTTTTGTGTATCTGGATAATATAGAATGGTTATGGTAAAACAATAGTGAATATCTGTTTGAATATGATCAGCAGAAACAATTAAATTATTTTTAAAATGCTATCTTTATTTCTTTCTTAATTTATGAGAAATTTAAACAGCAGCTACAAGAAAACTTAACTACAAAGTATTGTGACTTTCAATGAAATTAACTCCAAATAAGCCCTAACCACACATTGGCATATTCTCACTGTTTACAAAGCTATGGAAGTACATACTGACTGATTCATGACCATTAAAACAATTTATCTAGGGTATTGTTAAGAACTAGAATTGTATGTGATATATTTGAATAATAAAATACAATATGATTCCGTATTTTTTTCATAGTCAGAACCTAGAAATCACTGATTAAATGGTATAAAAAAAAATTTAATATATATTTTTTCTTTTTTTATCTATAAAAGTGTATTTATAGACATAATAAATATAGTTAATTAGACTTGAGATACAAAATTACTTTTTTATTTATCCCTTTATGTATTACAAATTATCTTCAAAATATTGGAAAATGTAGATTAGTTTGTTACCCTGTTGATCCATTTTTAATACTCTCTTAAACCCTTTAAATTCACATAGTCAAGACTTACTATAGAAAAAACATTGTTTTCTTTTCGATATTATCATCAGAAATTATTTAAATCAAACCTAGAAAAAGTTATTTATGATTAGCTTATTGCCTAAGCTTTACAGTCTATGGCTAAAATAAAAACCAACTATATTTTTTAATTTTTAGTAAAAGAAAAGAAAACTTCTGAAGTTATCAATAAAATATGTGTTTTGAATTGGCATAAATCAGTTATTTACTACTGAAGATATTAAACTCTTATATTAAGTTCTAAAATCACTCACAAAAGTTGAATTTTCTAAGAAAGTATAATTCACAAATGATGAGTGATATTCATAATTGACTTCACACATTTATGTTTCATGTTTTTCTATCATCTTATAAAGTTTCAATAATTAACTTTTATATTAAAATTAAGCTTAAATTAAAATGAAATCCTGAATCATGCTTCAATATTTTTTTTAGTTGACTACCGTAACGATATGTATGTATTATATCTTGACAAATATTAATAAAGGTTTGAAAATAAAGAAAAATTAACTTGTATGGTATTAATGGTAATAATAAAATGAATTATTTTAAAGTAATTTTTTAGAAAATTGTTGTTATTATGTTTAAGAATTTATAAAATACGTTTTCTTTATTTCAATGTTTAATTACATTACAATCATTCTAAAAATCATATTCTTGCATAATAAAAATATATATATTAGTTTTAAAACTAGTGAAATTGAATAAGAAAACTAATGTAGACAATACATAAATAATTTATAGCTATAACCCTAAAATTGATAAAAGAAAAAATCAATAGTGCTGATTATTTAAGGCTGTCGAGCCCCAAGCCTTAAATAAACAGACTAAAAGATTTTTTATTTATCTTATATGAAATTGTGTCAATTCTTTTCATCATAAACTTATACACTAGTCAATTGTTTGACATATAATAAAAATCAATTAAGTTATATGTGTCAAATTACTCATTAAATCTAAATTAGTTCAGTTGATGTTGGCTTGTTTGTTTTAAAAACTTGTCCAATGCATTCCTAATTTTCTTCACATATTAGCTGCAAATAATAGTATTGTAAGGAAAATGAATTTAGCAATATCTATAATACAAGAAATTTATTAGGTTAGTTACTTTTTGAATGTGAAATGGGGTGTTAAATACCAATGTTAGTAAACAGGATTTTTTATTTAAAGAAGTACTATGAGGATTTCATTGGAAAAATTAATTGATTTGTCGATTTAAAATGAGATCTATTACATAGTTCAGTTAATCATTAATCTTATCATTGGCTCTTCAGTTGGTAATAAACAAACAACTGATAGTTCATAGTTGGAGAAAATTAACCTTATTTATTTTTCATTTCTCTAAATGATCATTGTGAGGATCTCATGAACTACAATGCAACTAAACCATTCTATTTTTATTTTATAAAACGCAACCGTTCATGAAATATAAGTAGCACCTACTGATTTTAATAATTTTTTTTAACATCATCTTGTATTTTCTTGTAGTTTCCTAAATATTGCAACTTGCTGAAGATTTTCTAAAATAAAAATGTCAGAAATGAGCCTTTCAGATGATCTCTTGTGCAACGATTAGGATATATCATTTACATTATTATTATTTCTTATTTATCCTAAATAGCAAAATCATATTCCAAATAGAAGATTGATTTTACTGTAAATGCTAAACTCATTTTAAGAGCTTCTTAGTTTAGAATTTAGTTCCTTTTAATTGAAACAAAATGAATAAATGTGTAGTGGTCTCAAAGGCCAGATTGATATAAGTATATTTGAATTTAGGTGAAGGACTTAGTAACTGAAAAAAATTAAGTGCAACAAATTTCATCACATTTCAGATATCAAAACATCTCCAGGTATGTTTAACAAATGATTCTTGATAAGCAAATTAAACAATATCAAGTTGCGCAGATAGTATGATGTTATTCGCTTAATCAAATACTATATGTAGCTCAAACTTACTTTAAGGGTCATTTAGAGAGCATACCTGAATATGGATTATTAACCAAAATTTTGTGTTTATTTTATTTAAATCGAAATGAATTTATGTAGAACCTTAGCATAATACTTCCGATTTTAACATTAACCAACAAACCACTGCAGATAATAACTACTGTTAATTGCTAACTTGTGGAAAACAGATAAATAATGTAGTTCAAATCTGTTTAATTTAATGTTATTTTATACCGAATGAAGGTAAGATTTGCCCATGAACAATATTGTTATTATTGAAATATTACTAATAAAAGTTATTGGTATATATATATATATATATATATATATATATATATATATATATAATATATATATATATATATTATACCAATAACTTTTATTATTAATATTTCAATAATAATAATATTGTTACATATATATATATATATATATCCTATAATACATTGTTGGTATAGCTGTAAGTCTAAAAAATATGGATAAGGAACAGATATGGTGAATAAATATATTGAAGATGATATCACACATCTGGAAGAAGACAATCATATCTCAATTACTAAAAAAAAATTCATGAAATTTTATGTTTGAAAGTGTGGAGATTTAATTTAATTTAATTTAATATAAGGCTTATGAAGGCACACATTGTTGAAAGTGTTATAATGGTCTTTTCAATAAAATATCCAAACTCCATAAGATAGAATTTCATAAATATTTTTTATGTAAATTTTGAAAGATAAAATTCTTCTTCCAGACACACATAAACTATCAATAATAAATTTGTTGATAAAATAAAATTTAACAAAATAAATCCTCAATACACTAAACAAAACTAAACATTGAATGTATTCTGGACCATAATAAACTTTGTCTGACTCTGAATTTGAAACTGACTACCCAAAATAACTGACTGTAACACTTCCTGTGGTTTAGAGCTTTATAAATTTTCTAAAAGTTCCAAGTTTTTATAGGAAATTTACTACTTCCTTTATGTTTCAACTTTAAACCTCCTTTTAGTTCAAAGTTTATAATCTACTTTGTTGTATTGATTCTTATTAATGAAGCAAACAACTAATTTCTTAAAATAAAGTAACATGATTTTTACTTATGTCTTAATTTATATTATTAGAAGATAATGAAAATACTTTCTCTTCGATAAAATTTTAATATATTTCAGCCGAGCAAACTTATTAATCTATATATTTACTGTTCTCTATTATCCAGATTTTTTGGTGTTTGTTCTGTGTCAGTGTACCTCACTCCTAAGCTATTACAGGGATATCTAATCCTAAACTTTATACTTCCTCTATAATATTGTACGTTAATATAAATCATAGAAAGAAAGAAGAGAAAAAAAATCATTAAAAGAAATTGGAGCTTTATAGCCAACGGCCTCCTTTAATGTACCTAATTAAAGAAGAGTTTTAATTATAATGTTATCATGAGAAAAATTAATGTAAGTAATATATAGTTGTTAATTTAAGGATATGTGTACAAAATATGTATATGCTATAGTATTAGTTAAATAAGTTAATCTGAGTTTTAGTCATTATGTATAAAAATTTACAAAATGAATAAAAAAATATTTATAAAACAAAATATATAAAAAAATGTATTACAAAAAAGTCATAATGAAGAAGCAATAACAGTATAAATAAAAGTATATGTTAAATAAAAGTTACCTAAATAATACATTGGTTTTTACACCAGTATTTATGATGGTATCTGCTGCTTAAGATTTTACAGTCAAACATATTTAAGCAATTTTTTTCTCAGTTTGCGCAGTTTATAGAAATTGTTCAATATAATTTTTTAACTCTTGTTTTTAAATTAATGTAAAGTTTATTACTCTACATAACATATGCTAACGCAATAATGTACAAATGAGTTGTATATAGCTTGTACATAGAATTTATAAATAGGTTATTTGAATGTTATCACAAAAATACTTCAAAATTCCAAAATTGTGAATAAATGCTATTGGAAAAATATTTATTAAGCATATATATTTTTTTTTTTGTATCATTAGGCTGGAAGAAGGATCTCATAAACCGTTTTTCTCTTAGCTTAGAAAATCTTATGGGTATTTTTGTTAATTGTATATAACAATATACAAGCTAAAAAAAAATATTTGTATCATTAATTCACAAATTAATCTAATAATTGTATAATTCACCTGAATAGAAAAATGGCCCAGTCAGATTTAAAATGAACAAAATAATACAAAAATAGAAATATATATATATATATATATATATATATAATATATATATATATATATATATATATATATATTATATATACATAGAAGAAATATCTACAATCATTAAAAAAAATTAATGTTTTTTTTTTTTTAATTTAGCAAAACAAATTAGCAGCAATTGATAAAATATAAATAGCTAATGTATTATTTGTATATTTTTTTAATGTACATAATTTGAAAATAGTTAAATATAGAAGAAAGGGATTTTCATAATAAATATATTATATTGAAGTTATTATTAAATAGGTATAATTGGGATAAGTTTCCCATATTGGATCACTTCCTAAATTTCACTTAGTTTTAACCATACTTCCAGTAATAAATTGATGAAAATCTGCAGGAAATTTTAAGAAAATAGTTATCTATAAAGCGATAACTTTATTCATTTTTTAAATATTCTTTTTCTGTTTCTCCATGTTTTCATTCATAGAATATGTAGTTTTTTATTATTTTTTTTTAATCCTGTTTGTCTTTGGGATCCCATTAGTGCCGGCCTGATAGACATTTGGTGCTCTTGAACAATGATGTGATCTCACCCCTCTGAAACATAAATTTCCTTCTTAATTTGTTTTACAATATGTAATATTTGACTTTTTTTTCATTCAACATTTCTATAATAAAGTTCCTTTATTAATAGCCTAAAATTAATTATTTTAATATGTTTTTAATTTTTTTTTTCTTTCTTAAAAATTGGTGAGTGCCCCTGATGACCCTCAACAGGTACCCCTCAAGGTCAGCGCCTCACGGCAAACACTCTAGTTTCCCTGCCTTAAGGCATTGGATCTCACTCGTTTATAAATAAATAAAGATTTACACATTTTAAGTTTTATTCAAATTCACTAATTGACTTCTTTGTCCATAATTTTACTCAACTGTCTTCTCTTTCTTGGAGGCATTATTTGACTGCTTGACAAGTGAAAGACTTCATTCCATTTTAAAGCCACATAAACTAAACAACCTATACATATATCTGTTTTTCTTTAATTGAATTGTTGCATATTGTGATGTAAGAAATCTAGTTTCTATGTGTGTAAAACAAATTTCACATTCACATATCTTCAAGCCATTAGTTTCATGATACAATACATTATATATTCACTTATAATAGTAAAAAAAAAATGAAAAATATATTAGATAAAATTTTGTAAGTAATTTGATTATTATACAATTAAATTATTTAAACTCCAAAATCCTACTTCATCTATCTCAACTTCTTTCTAAAACCAAAATAAAATCACTAATACTGTCAAACTATATTCCAGCTAAACATTTATCTAAACATATTGAATTTTAGTACTTCAATCTCTAGGATCTGTCCTAGTTATTTATTCTTATTTTTCTCTCTTCATGGTTCAAATTTACAATAGGGGATATATATCTCTTGGCAGTTTCATCATGCACAGTATTTCTGCCAATTAGTAATTGAATTGAGCAACAATAGAGATCTGATGAATGCTATTCATAATTTTCTTGTCTTGAAATAATTCTCTATATTAAAATATCAAGAAATGCCTTTTTTTTCTTGTTCTTTAATTTCAAAAATAGATATGCTTTTAATTATTTTATCAATATTCATAAAACATAAGAATTATATTATATTATTATTATTTTACTGCAAACTGGAACACTGGGCCATTATTTAAACAGGTTTTTTATCTGATTTATGTTGAATATTTTGTGTAAATATATGTTATTAATCAGCTGACAAAAGTTTTTGTCTGAATGAAAGCAAATTCTAAACAGTAACTAGCAAGCCCCGAAAGGCCTTCATATCAACAACACTGAGTTACGAGAGATTTTCATTTCTCATCTCTCACAGTGTTTGCCATCAGAGCCATCGGAATGGCTGTCAGGAATAAACACAATTTGAAAGTAAAATTTGAATGATCCAGTTTTGGATATCATGCATAAATAAATATAAATATATAACAAAGCGTGTATATTTTGGTGGTATGTATATTATTTTTTTATAAAGATATTATTTCATTTGAATTCTATTTAATGTAAGCTGTTTAAATGTATTTGAATGGTTTGATGTTTCGGTAAATAAGGGTTGTTGTTATATTTGAGAGGCATCTATGTACACCTGGAAATAAGAACAATCAGTATTATTTTGCATAGCAATATTGTTTTCATATTAATGTAATTTTTTATTATTGAGGTCTTTCATACTTTTACATCATTAAGAACTCAAAAAAAATAACATAAAAATATTAGAAAGTAGGCCGATGTGTATCTTAGTTGTGAAATAAATATTGAATATTTGAAAAATGATATTTTAAATTTATAATTTATCCTATATTCCTCCAGTAGGATTCTTGAGAGTTCTATGTTTTGATAGGAACTTATTATTTTCAAAATTGGAATATCTTCTTCCAATATAAATGTATGAACATATAAAAAATTATTTTTATTTTGTCTTCAATGTTTAATTTGTTTTTTGTTATTCCTCTTCACATCCTTTAGTTACAGGTATCAGATTGATCCATCCATCAAATGTCATAGATTTAAGAGCAGATGCCTTGCAACAATAATATGATATTTAATGTTTTATAGGCTTGACAAGTAGTAAATTTAGTTGTATTCAAAAATTAGCATGTCAAGTGTATGATACTACAGAGAGAAGTAATGTACAGCTATGTTCTCAACATACTTTTAATTCTGGTTATATTTAAAGTATGCATGCTTGGACGCTAATACTCAGAACAAAATTTATATGTGAAAGAACAAAATAAAAAGAGAAGAAAACAAGTAAAGGTATAAAAAAATATAGAATACAAAAAATTTACAAATTGTCTCTCTCAGGAACTCTCTTTTCTTCTAATTTAATAATTTGTTATTATTATTTTTTAATGGTTTAGTTTTATTTTAACTTCCATTTACCTACATCTGAAATATGTAATAAAGAAAAGCAAAATAAACATGAACAATTTTGAATCCAATTTTTCTAAAATGGTGAGTGAGTGTCTCTTTATATGTAAACAACCATGCTCTAAAAGGAAAAACATTATGAAACATAAATCAACAGCT